TGAGCTTTCGTGGGTGAATACCCACTTCTTCGGATGCATGTAGTGGAAATTTCCAGGGGCAGGTATAAATACGCAAGCAAGAGTGAGTAAGGCTAGAGATAACGAGGTTAGTTCAATCAGGGAGGATGAGGCCCTCTTCTAGCAGTTGAGGTGTGAACACCACGGGAGGAGAAACTGCTTTTGTAGTTGGCTAGCCATTCACAGTCTTTGTTTAATCCTGAGCTGATGGTGTCAAATTTGCAGATGAACTGAAGCTCAGCAGTTTCTCTTTGAAGTCTGGTCCTGAAGACTTCAAAGACTGTGAATGGCTAGCCAACTACAAAAGCAGTTTCTCCTCCAGTGGTGTTCACACCTCAACTGCTAGAAGAGGGCCTCATCCTCCCTGATTGAACTAACTTTGATATCTCTAGCCTTACTCACTCTTGCTTGCATATTTATACCTCCCCCTGGAAATTTCCACTACATGCATCCGAAGAAGTGGGTATTCACCCACGAAAGCTCATGCTCCTATACGTCTGTTAGTCTATAAGGTGCCACAGGACTCTTTGCTGCTTTTACAGATCCAGACTAACACGGCTACCCCTTTGATACCATCTATACACACATTTTCTTGCACACTTTGTATCACATGTATGAATCACCACTATCCAACTAATGATCATGTAAAATAATTCTTCTGCCTGGTGTATTCAAATCGCCATGACAGCTAAAATCTGTTCTCATTTACACCTGAATAACTCCATTGACTTTGCAAGGGTGCAATCAGAATAGACAACTTGAAGCGGTGGCGTTAGATTTTATTCTAAAATGAGTGTTCATTTCCAGAGTGTTTACAAACTGACAGACTTCATTTTCATCAAGATTTCTTAGCTGATTTAGTAATTTGGAACGCAAGACACTCACGTACCAAATATTGATCTACATACAGCATGGGACAAATTCTGCTGTCTGTTAAAACCAGTGTAATGCTACTGAAATCAATTTATGAGGCAAACATTTAATTTAACATGCAGGCTACTGTTCCTAAATCTAAATACATACCAGAGCATAAATTTTTGTTTGAATTAAGTCAAACTTTGTCCCTGTCGTATCTTTATATAAAGAGGATATTCTGCCAAGGGCAGAACTTAGTCCTACCTACAAGACAATACGTTGTGCCACAACCACTTTAAAAGAGTTTTTGCAGAAGCCAAAGAATGTGCATGTTGTTATAAGAGGGCATATGGAAACACAAGCCAATTAATAGAGTACTGCAGTCTTCAGTAAGAGGCACTGTAGTTTTGTAACCCAAATCCTCAGGCAGAAAGTGCCATGTACATCTTTCTCTATTGTTGTACAATTTTAGTAACTATGCATTATTCAGCAAGGGATTCGGTGATGATAAAGAGGATACATTTAGCTGAAAAGACCAAAGAAAAGTGAATTCCTGGGTTTGTGTCCTTTTAATATACAAAGGGATAATTGGAAATAGTGTATGCTATGCTGTGTTGTTGTAGCCATGTTAGTCCCACGATATTAGAGAGACAAGGTGGGTGAGCTCCAAGAAAAGATATTACCTCCCCCACCTTGTCTCTTTAATGGAAACATTAGCCTTTCTAAAAAGAAATAAGCCAGTGACAAATTCTGAGAGCAGATTAAAAGGAAAGTACAAGCTGCCTTACTACATATTTAGACTTAGGAGCTGTAACCTGGCTCTCTAAATTAAATGTTTTCCTTGGTAATTTAGCTGCCACATAATGAAGCTGAAGTCTGCTGGAAGGTGCCACCTAGTGGATTATACAATAAATTTAAGTTTAAATCCTTTCATTAGGGGAAGGATGGGTGAAGAAAACAGTTTTTCGTTTTTGTTTTGTATAGATTTTTGTGTTATAGTAGGAAATAAAAACGTAGCATCAGCGCTTTAGTTGCAAGAGACCTGATATTTACTTTAGTTGTAACCCCAGCAGGACATTGTATTGCCACAGACCGGATATTTGCATTAGCCTAGCTTCACTGCTGTTATGCTTACAGTGCGGCTTCATAATTATGTGGGTTGTTTGCTCTTAATTTAAGAAATGAATCAACTCACTGTTTTGGGGAAGTTCTGTTGCATTTTGTACACTGCTGTTTTCTGATTATAAATCATTTAAATTATGGTACAGTAGAATCCACTTAATTGGTTCCCTGATAAAGAGCATTCTTTCTTAATTGGGACTATTGCCAGAGAACTGATTTGAGGCAATCATGCATGTCAATAACATCATCAGCCAATGGATTAATGGCACAGTAAGTTGTGGATGTCTGTTAAAATGGCACACATAGTGTTTGCTCTAGACCTGTTTACGGTAAGTTGATATTAATTGTGATTCTGTTTGGTGAGGGCGTTTTATTCACTTTGGGTGCAATTTATTCCAATGCAGAAAGCCCAGCACAGGACCATAGGCACCATTTAAGCTCTAGGGATGATCCTCACTCTTTGTTTCCCCCGCTGCTGTATTATTGCTGTCAGACAAATACATCTTAAATCCTGTAATGTGCTTCATGCTTTGTAAATTGCTTATTTTTAAGGACATGCATGACAAGTGAATGTTTACTTACACTGTATTCCTATGAGTTTTCTCTTTTGGGACCATCACTTCATTGGTATGTTTACTTCCACCGGGGTACTCATTGAAAGGATTATCCTACCTTTCATAAGCAATTAATATATCAGCTTCCCCCACCAATTCATATTGGTTATAGCTGCCTTTGACCTCACCGCTATAGTTAAAAGTCACGTAGCCATTTCTACTATGTTCCCTGTCTTCACACAGTTTAGTTTTATCATACACATTTGCTCTGTGATGAAATTGGATGTAGGATGTCCCCCTGCTGCCCACTGATTTTGCTTTGTTTTGTTATCCTTAGTAATTTGAATCTGCTTCAGAGTTAAAACAAATGCTGCAAACTGGTCAGCTGTAATGCCACTGAATATTATTAAAACTGATGTAAACTCGGGGCCATCTAAGAACCTCACACTTGACACCATGCTACACACCATGGCCACTCAGGATTTAACGGCAACAGCCGACAGAGAACTTAGATTTGCCTGTATCCAAAAGCACAGATCTGTACACTTTGAGCTAAAGAAGAATGTCCATTAGCTGTCTGCACTATAAATCTTACGGCATGCAGCTAAGCAGTTCTGATTCCATCCAGTGATAGGCAGCAATATGCACTGATGCTAGTTAGTCCACTGCAATTGCATGGGTAATATTTTTTAATGTAATAAAAAAAGAGTGCCTGATTCTACAATTGGTCCATATGCGTATCCTCTCTGCCCAGGCAGAACCAGTTGAAGGAGCAGGGGTATAGTGCAGGTAGAACAACTTTTTAAAGTTGTTTTTTGAGTATCCATTTGTCTTCATTTATCGACACACATGCAATTCCCACTGACTTCAAGAAGCGATTCAGCAGGAGAAGAGGGCAAGGAGCACAGAATTTGGCGTTTATATGCTAAGTGATCTGCAGCTGCATAGGGAACATTATTGTGTGCAACTTTGTAAGGTCTGAATTGCCACAGCTGCTGAAGCAAAAGCAAAACATGTACACCAATAACAAAAGAAGTTACATGTTCAGAAATGGATACATTCATAAAATCAAGCAGTTAAGGTTTTTAGCTCTACCTTAAATTCACCTTTGCTTTGTCTAGATATTACAGCACACATGAATAAAGTGTAAACTTTGAATTTCTTAGCTTTAGGGATTGAACCCAGAATCGTAATTATTATGTTAACAAAGTATTTTGTCTTCAGATTCACAGAAAAAAATTAAAGCTGCCTCCCAAACTAGTTTTACATTATAACTTCTATGGTAATGAAGGTTATTTACATTTCCCAGTGGGTGTGAGAAAGAAGTATTAAACCCCTCAATATGCCTATAATTACTAACTAGTCTATAAAGACAAAATAAGAATGTTCAGCTGTTAAACTCTAGCACGCAAACAGTGAATGTAAAAAAAAAAAAACTGCTGTTGGCAAACAAAATGAGTATCTGCACCACAGGCACAACTAATTCAGTAATTGTGCAAGGAGCTAAAGGTGAAAAGACAGCATCTCCAACTCTTTGCTCCATTGCACATCTTCCCTTTTTGTCTATTTAACTGCACGGTTGTACATTTAACTCTTGATGCGTCTGCACTTTTCCAGCAATGCAAACGTAGGTCATTGCAACACTGTATGTCTAACTCCGCTTTGTTGCACCTTTGTCCATTTAGGACCTGATCTTTGGAGGCATTGAACACCGATGTCCCCCACTACAGTTGGAGTTGGTTTGGGGGATCAGCACGTTCGAAGATCAGGCGATTGCCTCTTTTATTGGACCTTAACGCCACTGCAGGTTTAGCACCATTGTACCCCCCAACCTTTTGAACCCCTGGATCCCTTGCACCCCAACCTTTTGCACTAGGTCCCATCTTGAACCTCTCACTCTTTGCATTAATCCTGTGCTCCGTTGCACCCGAGCCTTTAGAATGATTGCACGCCTGGCAGCCCTCGCCCTTTGCACTACTGCACCCCGGGCACCTCTCGCCCTTTGCTCTGCTGCTCCCCAGCCCTTTGCATCAGGCTCCTCCTAAACTCCTACCGCGTTGCTCTGTGGCAGCCCTTGCAACCGCCGCCTCTGCCGCTTGCTCGGCCCCTGCTGGGTGGGCGGGGGACCGATCCCACCAGTAACTCCTGCCCCTTCCCCCCCCGTTTGCCCCTGGTTCACTCTGAGCTCTGCAGCGCGAGACTCCGAGCGGCTGGGCGGTACCATTCACACACGCCGGGGGGGAGGGGACGGACGTGGGAGCCCGGGCCAGGGGAGCCCGGGGCGGTGGGTGTGGCCGGCGCGGGGCGCTCTGTGAGCGGCCCCCCCCCCGCGGTGGGAGTGGTAGCGCCCGCCCCCCGGAGCGGAAGTGCCGGAGTTGCGGCTCGCCCGAGCTCTCCGGCGCTGGCGCGCGGGGAAAGTTGGGCGGCGGGTCGGGCTCGGCGGCGGCTCCGATGCGGCGGAAGCAGAAGCGGCTGCTGCAGGCGGTGGGGCTGGCGCTGGCCGCCCTCGTCTTCCTGCCCAACGTGGGGCTCTGGTCCCTCTACCGGGAGCGGCAGCTGGAGGGCGGCGCGGGGGCGGCCGGGGCCGCGGCGGCAGCCGCCGGAGGGGAGGCGCAGGTGAGCGGCGGCTCCTTCCATAGGGGCTGGGGGGAGAGTCGCCTATAGGGGAGTGTGGGGCAGGGGTTCGATGGGGGAAGTCGCGTATAGGGACGTGGGGGGCAGTGGCTCCATGGGGCAGGAGT